GAATAATGATTATCACTTAATGATCGATTACATGGAAGGGGAAGATGTGCTTTAAGTCAAGGGCAGCGCTCACACCAGAAACAGGCCAGGATTAGGCCCAGATGCCTAAAAGTTCTTTTTTTTTCCTTCTTTTTAAAAAATTTTATTTTTATAAAGCTGTTCACAATATTTGATTACATTTAATATTAGAGGGCTGAAACAATAGCACAGTGGGTAGGGTGTTTGCTTTCCATGCTGCTGGCCCAGGTTTGATTCCTCCATCCCTCTCTGAGAGCCTGGCAAGCTACCTAGAGTATCCCGCCCGCAGGGCAGTCTAGCAAGCTCCCCACGGCATATTCGATATGCCAAACACAGTAACAAGTCTCACAATGGAGGTGTTACTGGTGCCCGCTCGAGCAAATCGAGGAACGGGAGGACAGAGCTACAGACAGTGCTTAATATTTGAACACCAATCCCACCACCATTACACCTTCCTATCACCATATTTCAGATGTTGGAATCCTGAACCTCAAACCCTACCCCCAAAGCAGAACCGAAATACTTATTATTTTGTACTGCTTGTTATCAATGCTGGAAAGTTCTGAGTGGACTCTGTAAGGAGTGTTCAAAGAGGCAGGAAACTAGATTCGTATAACATAGCCAATGACATGAACTAACATGTTACCTCTGTTTAAAAAAAAAAAGACAGAGGGTGGGGACGGCTAATATAGTAGGCGGGGCATTTGCCTTGCACACAGCTGACCCAGGTTCAATCCCGGGCACTTCATATGGTCTCCTAAGTCCACCAGGAGTGATCGCTGAGCTTAGGGCCAGGAATAGCCCCTGAGTACCACTGGATGTGGTCCAAAAATGGGGGTGGGGGAGGGAGAGAGAGAGAGAGAGAGAGAGAGAGAGAGAGAGAGAACACGCTTTAAAAATATCAAAGAAAAAAATATCAAAGAAAATAGGAACTTCATTACTACTGGGACCTATGAAAAAAGAATCAGATGGTAATTCTAGAAGCAAAAATGTAATAAATGAAGTGAAATTAAAAATTGCCTGACTGGGGTTGACAGAAGACTAGGAACCATGAGGATTAGTGAAGTGATACAGGACGTCACTTCACAAATGTCACGGAACACAGCTAACACTCCACGATGAGCTCAGGGGAGTGTCTGCGAATCTGCACTGTGGCAGCTCCACGTGTGACAGCTGCTTCTTTGGGGACCAGGTCACAATATAGCTGCTGGTGTCCAGCCACTGGAAAACAGGTGAGGAGAGTTTATCCACAAAGAAACACACAGGGACCACACATACACACACACACACACACAAAGAAACACACAGGGACAACACACACGCACATGCACATGCACACACACATACACACACATCAAAAGGACATTAGACATCAGGGAACATAGGAAAATATTATTATTCTGGGAACAGAACTGAAAATCTCATAATAAAAATGAAACAAGGGGAAAAATCTGAAGAGGGCAAGGCAGAGCAAGGAACCCCAAGAAATCCGAACAGGAGAAATATGAAGCATGCAAGAAGGCAGCTCACACAGAGAAAGACCCGCTAGTATGGCTTCTGTAGAAAACAGCTTAGGGAGAGAAGGTCTGTTAGCATGGCTTCTGTAGACTGGCCTTTGTCAACGAAACTCAGGAGACACCAAGTTCTGGAGCAAAGTGCTACCACTGAAAAAAGAAAGAGAACACAGCAAGCAGAGGTTAAATTCTACTCCCAAACATTATCACAAGGATAGAGACTAACTCCCAGGGCTAGTAGAGATAAGGACCAAGAGGTCTGCTCCACTGCTTGGAAACCAGCCTCACATGCTGGGGGAAAAGGCAGCTCAGTTAGAGAAGGGAACACCAAGTTAACGGATAGTGAGAGGACCCTTTCGGGATGAAAGATGCGTGCTGAAAGTAGACTACAGACTGAACATGATGGCCACTCAATACCTCTGCTGCAAACTATAACACCCCAAAGGAGAGAGAACAAAAGGGAATGCCCTGCCACAGAGGCAGGGTGGGGTGTGGGGGTATGGGGTGGGGGTGGTAGGAAGAATACTGGGAACATTGGTGGAGGAAAATGGGCACTGGTGGAGGGATGGGTAAACAATTATTGTATGACTGAAATAAGAAAGTTCTTAGGTTTGTAAATGTACCTCATGGTGATTCACTAATAAAAATTTTTTTTTAAAAAAAGATTATCCCAAGGATAATCCTGGGGAGGCAAAAGACCCAGGGAATGGGAGGCAAAAGAGTTTCTAGGATCATCTTTCTGTTTTACTTTACATATTAGGCAAACCAATCAAGCATTTAAGGAAGAAGTAAAGGCAAATTCTATTTTTAAATATATGCATAAAAATGGAGGAGAACCTGTTCCCTGGCTCGTTCTATGAGGTCAACACTGTTCTGATACCCAAAAGAAGATGATCTTACAAGACTACACAGCATCCTTGGTACCAAAGATGAACAAAGATGCAGGACGCCAAGAGGAAAGCTTGGATGAGCAGCGCTACTGCTACATTTGAACACCGAAAGGGCCCACCTTTCAACTCCGTATCATCAACTGTGATTACATGCAATGGAACATGTGATTAAATGCAATAGGACAGTACCAAGCAAGGAAAATGGGGGGAAATGAGTGAGCTACAGTTACATGGAAACCTTCCTCCCATCTCACGGATGTGTGAACCCAAACACACAAACGCCAAAGGATTCTTTTCATCTACCTGCAGTTTAAAAATACCCAACTGAGGTAAGTGGTTAGCATAAGAAGAGGGATTTCCTTTGGGAAGAGAGAATTGTAGAGAAAGTCATAATGGGAAATGCCCTGGTCATGTTTTCTGTCATAGAGAACTGCGGGTTCAATGCGGGATTCACACCTGTACTTTTTCATTAAATAAGTGTTAAGAAGACTGGATTAAACTATAAGGACAATAATCACTTTAGCAGTTGCCCAAAGCTGGTTTAATGGATGACCACCATGAAAAAGGGAATAGGAGGTGGGGAGGGTCATGGTCAACTGGATCTCTTGATCATGGTATACTGAGAGTATGTTATGCCTTCATCAAAATTCAGAGAAGACCTGTACACAAAAACAGCTTTGCTGTATGCAGACCACATCTCAATAAAATATGGAACTGAGATATAAAGCAATGCACTGATTTTACTTATCCTTAACTTAAGTGGAAAGTTAATTAACTATGGTGTTATAATCTGCCCTTTTCACTGATTACATTCGACAGTGTAGAAAGAACTAAAGTTAAATGGGTTGTAAAATATTTTTTTATTCTTATATATAAAGATACTTGTGAAAGTAAAGTAGAAATCTTTGGAAGACAAAAATGATTTTACTAGGAAAAGTAAAATTTTAAATATTTGTTTTTTTAAAAAAATAATCCACTGCTAAAATAAATTCTGTATCTTACATGCCATCTTGCTTATTCACACATACCCTGGCAGAAAATCAAGTTATTTCTGAGTATTCTCTGTCGTATTTATTCATGAGAGCATTAGAGGAAAACGTAATGACAGGTCATAATTTCTGTCATTAGAAACAAAGTAGAAATATTTCAGTTAAAAAAAATTTTACTTCCTGGGGGCCTGAGAAATAGTATAGGGGTTAAGGCATTGGTCTTGCATGTAACCTACCCCAGTTTGAATCCCTGGCATGGCATGTGGTTCCTGAACTTTGCCAGGAGTGATCCCTGAGAGGGTCTAGCAGTAAGCCCTGAGCACCAGGGGGGTATGGCCCAAAGTCCCTCCCATCCCCCAGCCTCCCAATTCAACTTCTTACTAAGGTTTACTCATGTCTAAACATTTTTAGCTAACCAATCAAGAAATGCAACATTTAGTCCTGATTTCTAGGGCACTCTAGGAAAAGTTTACTGAATCTCACCTTTTTACACATTTACTTTTGTTTCTTTTTCTTCTGATTTTTGGGTCGTACCCGGCAATGCTCAGGGGTTACTCCTACTTTGCACTCAGGAATCATTCCTGGAAATGCGTGGGGAACCATATGGGATGCCGGGGATTGAACCTGGGTTGGCCACATGCAAGGCAGGCACATTGCTGTATTATATATATGAATATGTAGCACTGTCCTCCCGTTGTTCATCAATTTGCTCAAGCGGGCCCAGTAACACCTCCATTGTGAGACTTGTTGTTACTGTGTTTAGCAATTGAATACGTCATGGGTAGCTTGCCAGGCTTTGCTGTGCAGGCGAGATACTCTCGGTAGCTTGCCAAGCTCTCCAAGAGGGGCAGAGGAATCGAACCTGGGCCGACCAGGTCAGCTGTATGCAAGGCAAACGCCTTACCCACTGTGCTATCGCTCCAGCCCCCATCAACTTTTTCACACTTACTTTAAGTCATTTTATTTCAATCTATGAACAAATAAGGATGAAAATGAAACTGCGGTTCCTTTTGAAAGCACCATATACCTGAGGGCAATGATAGACCTATGGTAAAGCACCGAATCTATCCGACATAAAATTAGGAGATGCACAGGACCCTAGCAACTAATTACTAGATGGATCTCTTAAGAGCAGGGTAAATATGAAGTCTCATTTGCTCACAGACAATTAAATGCTGCCTTCTTTTATTTGGGGGGGGGTTGAGAGGGTGCCTCACCTAGTGGTACTTAAGGACCACTCTGGTGGGCTCAGAGGGTCTTATTATGGGGCTCCGGGGATCGAACCCATTGGTTGCATGCAAGGCAAGAGTCCGCCCCACTGGACCATTGCTCCGGCCCCTGAAACACAGCCATATTTAGTAACGTCCAAGGATTTATATTATAAACACAGGTAACTATTTGCTCAGTTTCCCCCAAAGTCATCTGAATTTCATTTCTCAGGAGGAGAAAACGGTGGTAACGTTTACTGTCCCCTCAGCCTGCTGGGGAAACTGCACACACTGCAACTTCGGGTGGAGGTTGTATGACAGAAGAAAACACAGTTGCTGCACTTTTATTTCTATTAGCTACACAAAGAAAAAAAATCTTACCACTTGTGCTGGAACTTGTTCCATTTTTGCAGCGGGAGTTCCTGGTCTCGGGTAAAATTGGTTAATGAAGAGGCTTGGGAATCTGTATTCTTCCACCAGTTTCACTGTTTCTTGAAAATCTTGATCTGTTTCTCCAGGAAAACCGCAGATAATATCTGTAGCAATCGTTATTCCAGGAACTCTACGATAACAAGACAAAAATGTAAAAAGGTCGGCTCTAATACATAATTATTCTATCTCCCTGACATTTTAAAGACCATTACACTTTACAAACTTTTTATTTCAAGGAAAGAGACATTTGGAAATAATTCTAAAGAGCACTAAATATTTTTCAAAGTTTATGGAAACACGAGTTCTCTGTCACCCTGAAGAGCAATTATAAGTTTTAGACGGTTTTTTTTTCCTATTTCTTCTGTATTTTAAAACAGATGACTATTTCTCTTCCTAAATTAATTTATCTTGAAGAAAATATTTACTGATGTTACTGTTGTGGTAAATGTCAATTTAGTTCCTAGAACTAGTCTTGTTTTTTTTTTTCCATCTAAACCTAGTCACTGCAACATGACAATTAACATAACAATATTTTCAATTGCTGTAATTACAAATGCTTACTGTTCTACAGTGCTTATTATATCCACTGGGATATTAGCATTTTCTTTTGACATGCATTTTTTTTCAGGGCGGGGACATACCTGGCTGTGTTCAGGGCTTATTCCTGGTTCTATACTCTGAAACCACTCTTAGCAGTGCTCAGGGGATCATATGGGGCCTGGGGACCAAACTCAGGTTGGTCATGTGCAAGGCAAATGCCTTAACCGCACCCCCCCCACCCTGCCGCCGACCCGCATGTGCTGTACTATTGCTCTGGCCCTCTAACCTTTATTTGAAATATAGTTTTTCCTCCATTGCTACAATGATGCTGATTTATTTTAATGGGGCTCTTGCATTCTAATCTTTCTCATTCGTATACTTCTATTAATTGAAAATCCACATCTTTAAAAACCATTTTGGGCAGAGCAATATTATTATTTTATACTTAGAGGCTGGAGCGATAGCACAGCGGGTAGGGCGTTCGCCTTACACGCGGCCAACATGGCCGACCTGAGTTCGATTCCTCCGCCCCTCTCGGAGAGCCCGGCAAGCTACCGAGAGTATTCGATATGCCAGACACAGTAACAACAAAGTCTCCAATGGAGACGTTACTGGGCCCGCTCGAGCAAATCGACGATCAACGGGAGGGCCTTTACCTTTATACTTAGAGTGTAAAACTCCATCATGGGTTTGCACCATGAGTGCCAAGATCCTGCCCCCATCATCCCAGGGTCGGTCCCTCCTCTCCCTTTGCTGACCCTGCCCCACCTCGGCATCCTCAGACCCACTTCTCTTGGCCATAGCTCAAGACCAGTTTCCACTGGGGACTGCTTAATTAACTAACGATTCTTGCTGTGCTTTAATATTCAAGAGCAAAGAACTAAAAGCTCTTCATCATCACTGGGTTATTGGGTAACGAGCTGCCTTGGTTTTTGACAGGCCCAACACCTTGGAAGTTGATTCGTTACAGTACACTGCCTGCATCAACAAAGGTGCTATAATATCTATTGTCTAATTATAAAATAACAATAAAAGAGTGTCATTAACTATTCAAAACTCTGAAATTACTCTGAATCCACGAATACAACAGGAAAAGCAGCCTTTTTTTTTTTTTTTTTTTTTGCTTTTTGGGGTCATACTCAGTGATGCACAGGGATTACTCCTGCTCTGCTCTCAGGAATTAGTACTGGCGGTGCTCAAGGGACATATGAGATGCTGGGGATTGAACCTGGGTCGGCTGCGTGCAAGGCAAACATCCTACCCGCTGTGCTATTGCTGCAGCCCCAGGAAAAGCAGTCTTAAATGTTTCAAGTCACAGGCTATTCGCATATCCTATTTTTTGATTACCTATTATTTTTAGGAATGAATAATACCGCTGGAGCGATAGCACAGCGGTAGGGCGTTCACCTTACAAGCGGCCAACATGGCCGACCCGAGTTCGATTCCTCCACCCCTCTCGGAGAGCCCGGCAAGCTACCGAGAGTATTCGATATGCCAGACACAGTAACAACAAAGTCTCCAATGGAGACGTTACTGGGCCCGCTCGAGCAAATCGACGATCAACGGGAGGGCCTGAGCTATACCTGAATAATACATTATATCATTAGCATATAAATATGTGTATATTTTGCGACTATGAAAAGCTACAAGTTGCCTGTTACACTCCAGGTCTGATCCCTGATACCACATGATTCACCAAGCATTATTGGGAGGGACCCCTGAGCACAGAGCCAGGAGCAGCCCCAAATGACTCGGGTGTGACCTTAAAATTAAAAAGTCTAATATAAACAGTTTGATTTAAAAATGAAGATAATTTTTCACGACTTTTTGACATTTATGTATTGAGATTATTATCATCATTATAGTTGAGGTAACAACAGTGTTAGTATTTATAGTTTTGATTGCAGCTATTGCATCTAAGTGCCACTAAAGTGCCGATATTTTCTGCCACTCTCCTCCGGGCACTTCCAGTCACCTCGTCATCCCTCCACAAGTACATACTTTAAGCCTGTGAGGGAGGAGAATGACTATTTTTAGATTCTTTTTTCATGTCTATCTGGTTTCACTAGCTATAGGAAGGTAGTTTCCACAAACTAAAAACTTTTGCTGTGATGATAAATAGAAAAGAGAAAAATTAAAGAGTATGCTGGTGGATTGGAGGGATAGTGCAGGGAGTAGGGCACTTGCCTTGCACACACCTGAGCTGGGTTCGATTCCTGGCCCCCCCATATAATTCCCCAAGCCTTCAAGAAGTGAGCCCTGAGTGCAGAGCCAGGAGGAAGCCCTGAGTACTTCTGGGTGTGGCCAAAAAAGTATGCCTGAAAAAAAAATGTTTATTTTTATTAAATTGCTTTCCTTCTTTACAATATCTTGGCATTCATTAAAAAAAAAACTTGCTCTTGGAGTGACCAGTAGTAAGGCCATTTAACACATGTAAAATAGAAAGTGATCAATAACTTTGAAAACCAAAAAAATTTTTACACCTCACAAAAGAAATCTATAACTAACCATTAAAGTAAAATGGATCACAGTAGCAATACAAAGAAAAGCCCATCTCCCCAACAAAGTGAAAAAGAAAATAACACCTTAGAAAGGGCCCCATGAAAAACTACAGAAACATAGACAACTGGCTATTGTCCTGGCTATAAATGGGAGCAAACTTGGCACTTGATTATGGGGTATTCCCACAGGAAAGTACCTGAATGACTCTGTCACCCGCCCCTTAATCTGTAACAGTTGAGGACATTATAACGCCAACACCTGCTTACTTTGGGTATTAAAGGCCACGGTGAAAAAAGAGAGAAAGCATTATAACATAAATTAAGGAAGAGAGTTTCAGTGCATGAATAAATGTGGTAAGCGAAACGGTCACCTGATACGAGGGGAGGATGCTCTGGATCAATGACAAAAGTTATATTAATCTGGGGCATTCCAGTGCAGACTCACCACCAGAGAGTCAGAAACCAGAGCCATCAAGGGGTTATTGGAGCCCTGGTTGTAAACGCAGGGTTTACAATTCTCATCAGGACCACCAGGGACAACTCATGGCAGTTCAGTCTGTGGGGCTTCTCCTTGGCTGGCTACGAAAGCCAAGAGCGCACTCCATGATACTGGTCCTCGGAATGATCTCAATTTTATCAGGAGCAGATTGCAAAAACATGAAAGCATGGGAGCTCCAGATAAGGAGTATCCCCTAATAGTCATCCCATAGCCGTGTGAGCAGACCTGTCCCAAACCTGCCCCGTGACACCGGACTGAGATTGACTGTAATTGTCACGAAGATGATACTCCAAGAAAATTCATCTTTGGCACATTTTTGTCCATATTCACACTTAAACTCATTAAACCTCATCGCATGTGCACTGTAAAATTGTGCTTTAGCTCTTTAATAAACCAACTCTGATTAAAAAAAAAGTATGTTAATCAATATCAAGGCAGATTGATTGCTTTCCAAGTATATATGAATATACACGGATAGCTTATAAAATGTTTTTAAAGACTACACTTCAATGCTAATGAAGGTAATCTATACATTAATTTTATATATGCAAATGGTGCTACTTATGCTTTTGAAAGTAATTTGGTTCCTTAGATGAACCAACTAAAATCTCCTATTTTACACCATGCATTCACCTAGCAAGAATTCTCTTCAGAACGTGAGAAAAACTAAAGAAGTTCTTTCTAGTATATGATTTAAATGCCTATGAGGAAGTTATAAGACATAAAATAAACACTAATCCGAATTTTTAAGATGCTAATTCTGAGTAAATGTTGTTTTTGAGAAGCTATGGATTTTCAAAATACTAGTTTTTAAAAAAATGATAATTGCTTATATATATTTATTGAAATTTGTGGGCCTAATATGTACTACTATGAGTTTATAATTATAAGACCTTATGTGAAGCTACTATTTGATGGTAATTTTGGAGAATAATCCTGAAAGAAAATTAAAACATTGAATGTTTAAATAACAGAATTTGATCCATGATTTATTCTGACATAACAAGCTATTTGCTGGTAAATGGGTTCACAAAATAACTTAAAAATAAAAATTTCTGAAAGCTTATAATTGTGCATCTACTTTAGCAGAAGTAGTGTGTGATCAGTTATGAAAATCCATAAAGGACTTATGAGAAAAGCGAAACCAAATAAACAAAAATAATAAATTTGAGAAGTTTAAGACTATTCTCTAGAAAGAGAATTAAAGTTTTTCCTAAAATGCACTGAAAGAGATGTTTTATTTTGCTTTTTTGGCGGGGAGACCACAGGCAACAATGCTCAGGGCTTACTCCTGGATCTGGTCTCAGGGACCACTCCAAGCGGTGCTTGGTAACTCCTAGTAGTGCTGGGGATCAAAGGTGGGTCAAGCATGAGCAAGGAAGCACCCTACAGGGAGTATTATCACTCTGGCCCCAGAATTTGCTGAAAGAAATGAATGGATAAATTTTTTTTGGCCCTCCCGTTGATCATCGATTTGCTTGAGCGGGCCCAGTAACGTCTCCATTGGAGACTTTGTTGTTACTGTGTTTGGCATATCGAATACGGGGAGCTTGCCAGGCTCTGCCCTGTGGGCGAGATACTCTTGGCAGC